ATAAGCTGCAAGGGGCTTGGCTGAACAATCAGGATAACCCTACAAGGGTACCCAATTGAGGATGACACTTGTTGCTAGCATGGAAGAGATTCATGGCTTGGACTCTGGGTCGCCTAGAGACATTTGAATGGGTGTAAGATGATAGGACTTCTAGAAATCAATTTAGTACCTTTCTGACGACGAGATCGATGATGCAGAGAACTTACTAATTGATGTTGGATGGTTAATTCCATCGTTGAATTCGTGCCAGATCGTACAAGGAGTGGTGAGTCGACCCGACTCACTTAAACGGGGAACTCCATTTTCCTTGCGGATGTGAGGACATTTTACCACAATGATGGACTCACCACTTGTTCCGGTCAATCGGTAGAATCACATTGGTCTCGTCTCGAAAGCCAAATTTCTACCTGTTACCTGCTGCGGCGCACTTTAAGCTAAAAGGACAGCACAACTAGGCTGCACTGTGGTTTCGTGATGGACTCATATATCCGCGGCAGCCTCAACAGTTCAAGCGTCCTTCCATCCATGTGCACTTCGGAGATATATAAGCCCCTGCCAATCCTAGTATAACCTTCAGCTACATGATATCTAACTTAATTTGGCCACAGGAGGCCATCTCGCCTTTTACTATGATACTCGTGAAATGGTGTCTGCTTTTGCAGGCAGTTGCATTTTCGCCGACATATGCGCACCTGAGAATGGCGTCTCCCGAGCCCTACGGATCTAGTAGGAAGACACTTGACAACTCGCCACTTGCAGCAGATGGTAGTGACTTTCCTTGCAAGATATCCCCAGGTGACTTTATTGTTCCGACTGAAGAGGCGACTTATCGGACTGGGAGCAACAATATCATTAAGCTTCTGGGCAGCGCCACCCATGGCGGTGGGTCCTGCCAGGTGAGCCTCACCAGTGATCGCGAGCCGACAAAGAATTCGGAATGGAAAGTCATCAAGTCCTACGAAGGGGGATGCCCTGCAAAAGGCCCAGGAAATCTTGATGGGAGTGCCGAGTCGGACCATTCTCTCCAACTCCACTTCGCGATCCCTGACGGTATTGCACCCGGGAAATACACCTTGGCCTGGACATGGTTTAATCGTATCGGCAATCGAGAGATGTACATGAACTGCGCACCCATCACTGTGGCTAAGGAGTCGCCGTCAAATTCGTCGGACAACGCACCCAAACAATCGCTGGCTTTTCCTCCTATGTTCATCGCCAACGTGAATGGCTGCATTACCAGAGAAAATGTAGACATTCACTTCCCTTGGCCTGGAAGTATTGTTGAATATAATGGCGACAGCAAATATCGACCGCAAGAAGGCGAACCGGTATGCACCGGAAATCCTACATTCGGCCCAATTCCCATCACCGATACATCCAACACCGGCGAGGCTAATTCCACCACTGAAAATGCCAATTCGATGCCTTGTTCGTGTGGCTGCCAGGGTAGCTAAACTTGTATAAAGATCCTGATGAGCAATGGGTCCTGCATCGCTGAGATATATAGACGGGAGCGTTCAGACCCATCTAGCTCAATCCAGATCGTCTGTGAAGTGGAAAATTCCAGTCTAATAATATTCACCTATCTTTGTTGATTACAACCCTGGTTTCAGTATTATAGTTCCAGCGGGGAGCACATCTGCGAGATAATGATAATATTGTGCCCAGCGGGTATGATTATGTCTCAAATCCAAACAGAAGCAACGCACTCCTTGTGTTACATAGACCCTAGTTAAATAGGCGATAAACGAATGCAAAAATATGCAAATAAATTGACAATACCGATGGGTCATATAAGTAAGAACTGATTATAACAACAGGTCGCAAATTGAGTGTAGTCGAGGGGCTATCCTGAACCTACTATATTTGTTCGCTTGAAGAGCGTTTGCAAACTACCACCGTCGGAACCATGCTCCATCTACCAATCTGCCGTACCTAGCTTTCCTTATGCACCAATAATATATTGTCCGAACAGCACAGATGGAAAATAGGATCGCGGGTTCCTTCTCGATTGGGTAGGCCTCAAAAAACGGCCGAGCAAAAGCCAATGAGTTTGTCCTTCAGCAACGAGCATAGTAAGATTTGATACCGTGATAGGCAGTCTTGTTGGCTACACTGACCAACAATTTCAACTCTCCCTCGCATGAATCTCGGGTAAACATCTCGTTCTGTCACATTAGCCGAGAACATGATGAGACAGCATGAACTTACCTGCAAGATTTCTTCGACGGAGATACTTTCCAGCTGGCAAGGTAAGTTCTGAATCTCCGTTTCCCACTCGTATGTACGATTTTTCAACATCAATTTCGTGACAACATCGGCTAGAGCGCATAATTTCATCGTCGCAGGATTCATTTCCGATTCTTTAATTTCGCAGCTATTTTCGACACCTACGATTGAAAGTCAGTTTTTATCAATTTTCGCAATACCCGCGGATACCTCACTAATCTTGACATCACCAGACTGCGTAAGCAGGATTGTTTCCGGGCCTAGGGTAGCGAGTGCTCGCCCGAGCCCACGCAGATATTGGATTCCTTCTAATACCTATTCCAAGTTAATTTCGAATGCACCTGCAAGAGATTTTATTGGCTCACCGGCTTGACAATTCAAACGAGTTCATCGGTGGTGATCGAGCAGCTGGAGGCTAAAATGTGGCTGACTGACACTTGCGTTAGTTCCCAAATCAATGTGCATGAAGCATCATGATGGTAACATTCGAGCAATTTTAGGAAGCTTGGATATGCGACTTGTTCTATCAGTTCTAGGAAACCTGTGGCAGGAGAGAACTGTTTTTCAAGTTGTTGGATATGCACCAACATTCCTCTTTTCGTCTTGTGTCGGGCAAATATCAAAGAGCGATCTTGGGATGATCCAGCGGCAGCTTCAAAAGTATCTCATGGGTTATGGTTCAGTTGTGGGATCCTTGCGTTCGGGCGACCCGGGGGTGGCTCCATTGAACCAGGTGTGATTACGGCGGTGGCCATTTTCTGTATTGTTGGGGGTTGGATATGCGGAGACGCCGTTGAGTTTGGACACAGCTGCTCATTGCAGAAGGCCGACTCATCAAGCCACACGGTAGAAGGTCGGCTGTGTTTGGTCTTAGCGCGATTCATAATGCTGTGTTGGCTTCGCGGCGTGAAAAAACATAGCGAGGATGGACAAGGGTCAAAGAACCATTTATAGCTCCAAGATATTATTTTGACACATGACCTTCGTCTTCGCAATGTCAGTCCATTGGTAACAACATAACGATATTGGATCTTTAAGTGTGGTGGTGAATTGCCGCAATTATAGTAGGTTACAGTGAACCTCTGTTGATCGGGATTTCCATCACCGTCAATTGAAGTGTGGAAAGTTGAGGTGCGGTTGCTCAGTATCATAAAATAGCCTATAATTTTCAGTCTATTTTAACAGGTCTACTTTCAACATGTTCAGATGCTGTTCCCCTTGAATATCCAACATTTTGTTTTCCTTTTTGCTAGTGTCTCGCTGCAGAAAAGGACAACAGGAGGTAAAATTATTCCTGGACAGAGACAGATATCGTGAGCTGGCCCTATTCTGCTCCTCCGTGGAGGATGTTGAGCAAATTAAATGGATTGACTTTCATCAATTATTTTGAAAACTAGGAGGAGCAGATAGCATAAAGTCAGCCATCGAGTGGTCGATGACCACACCACATTTCCAGACCCTTCAGCCGGTATGGTAGGTCTGATTCGTGTAGGGGCAGGAATATGAGCTGTTGTGATAGCCTCCACCGTACCCCCAGTTGGCAGTGTGAATGTTGGAATTATCAAAGCTAAGGGCAAGGCGGCGTTGTCCCAGGAGGGCGTTTGGGTTGTCTTCATGCTTTGAGTGGACGCCATTTCGTCTCCGACATATGGGCCGACAGTAGGGTGGCTCGTAATTATATCATATGCAAAACTCTCGGTACTTGAAATTGTCAAGCCATAAACATAGCAATGTCGGTAATGTTGGTTGATCTACGTACTGGTTTTGTGCGTGAGGCACTGTTTCCGGCGTCACGGTAGTCGTTAGGACTTTGGTAGACATGTCATTTGGCCCAGGTTAGATTTGATCCTGCTATCGGAAGACACTTGGCTCCTGGCTATGTCCAGCTCGGTCTATTAGAGATATTGCGAGGGAATGGGGTTTGCGGAGTGGGGGCTTCCTACCGTACGCACTGGCAAAACTGGCTAATTCCCAAGAGTAGCGCGTTTTGGGTGATCTGTCTGAGGATAGGACTCAGGTATTTGAGTAGAAAGGGGGGCTCACAAAGGCGGTTGGCCTAATATTTATGCTCTCTCATATTTCACTTATACCTTAGCCTTTAAATAAATCATGCTGGCACTAGGATCACCAACTACCCGAAACATCAACGTTACTTAATAAATAGCTTCAACGATATCCGGATCATGCGCAACAGTATGGATGGTTACGTAGCAGGTTTGACTAGCCAACCTTTCTTAACATGGCTACTTGAACTAAATCTTGTTGCCCTCAATTAACGGCATGACTTAAGAGCTTGGTCTGTTAGCACAACTTCCATCACCGTATGTCATGTGCGTACGTAGCTCCCTATGGCTGTCATG